CGTAATTTCATCTCAAAGGATGCAACCCAAATTTAAAAGAATAGCAATTCCCCAAAATAAAAAAACTCCAGGGCTGGGGCTGCCATACTAGACACCCCAAAGAGTTGCTCCCTGGTGGTGGCTCCTGGCTGGGGACTCCTTGGTGCCTTCAGTCCCCGTCTCTCCCAGCAGCCACCCGGCCTCGGGGACCTGGGTGAGCACCTCGGGCCCTAAGACTTGCCAGACCTACTTCTTCCTTGATGTGAACACCCGCCCAGAGGAAAGTATCAAGGAATTCAGGGATTTTCCCCTTCGACTGTGTTCTCTGCAGCGGTGGTCCAAAACCTCCGCAGAGGAGGATGGTGTTAGGGCTTCCCAATTTTCAGGCTGTCACAGAAGGAAAACTGAGTTTTTTTGTTTTTTTTTTGAGACAGAGTCTCACTTTTGTGCCCAGGCTAGAGTGAGTGCCGTGGCGTCAGCCTCGCTCACAGCAACCTCAAATCTCCGGGGCTCAAGCGCGATCTCTTCTGCTTCAGCTCTCACTGAGACTGGACTTACAGGCCATGCGCCACCAGGCCCGGCTAATTTTTTTTTTTTGTATATAATGTATGATTGTTTATTATTTTTAGTTGGCAATTAATTTCTTTTCTATTTTGTAGGATTTGATGGCGGGCTCGCATCTTTTTCTCAGTTGCTGATTTATGAACGACCTGGACCGGAGCTATATCCGCGCCTCGCCTCGCTCTCCCAAAGTGCAGGATTACAGGCCTGGATGGTTGAGCCCGCGTCGGTGAGCGCTGGAATCTCTGGGGTCTTAGAAGAACAAACCCAAGGCCCGGGCGCTGGTGGCATACACTCCAGGTGGGGCATGTCATGGCGTCCGGCGCGCTGGGACGGCCGTAGTGCGGTGAGGATGTCTTTGGTCCGAGTTCAGTGATTTGTTGCGAACCCGCTCACCACGCGCGAACCGGCCGTCTACGAGAGCGATGAAGAAGAGGAGAAGAGAAAGAGGAGAGGAGAGAGACATGGTGGCCAAGCTCATATATATGCTTGACAGTGGATAGAGTGTCAAAGAACTGTGACCGTGCGACTGTGGCGCATGCCTGTAGTGACACCACGCGTACGCAGGTGAGGGAGTCATGAGGCAGGAGGATCGCTTGAGCCCAGGAGTTGGAGGTTGCTGTGGCTAGGCTGGACAGTCGCAGCGGCACTCAACTACGCTGCCTGGGGCGGTTCAGAGAGAGACTTGGAGTTCTGCTCAAAAAAAAGAGAAGAACAAGAAACGCGGCGTGAGAGCCTTTGGTGTGCTTACTTGCCAGGCACTTTATCACGGGAGCCGGCAGCTGCCTGGTCCGCCCGCTGCTCAGAGCTAAGCCGAGGCGTCTTCTGCCTGGTGCAGCGGCACCACGCAGACAAGCACGTGCCGGTCAGTCGGTGTGCTCGCTGCTGTCTGCGGAATCGTGTCGAAAGCGCAGGCAGCACGGCGCGGCGAGTTGTGGGGAACGGGGGCCGGTGGCGAGAGAGAGAGCGCGAGAGCCCGCAGTGCGTGCGTGCTGCTGCGATTGGCGCAGCGATGCCGTCGGTTAGCTTCTTTTTTGTCATTTTGATTAGTCTGTGCCGGACGTTAGCTGTCGGACTGGTGGTTTGAGGTGCCCAGCGGTTAATGCCCGCGTGTGCACCCGGCACCGCGCCACCGTTTCAATCTGCTGTGGTTCGGCCAGCAAGACAGACGAACAGAAGAATTCAATGTCAGGCCGGTGTAGCGTCGGGGTGGCATTCACGGCCTAGTATGGACCCAGCACTCATGGGAGGTGACCGAGGCGGGAGGACGCTCAGGTCAGGGTTCGAGACGCGCATGAGCAAATGACGAGACCCGTCTCTACTACTGAAATGAAATGAAATTAACGCGCAATGCCAATTATTATTATTATTGAGTTATTTAAATGCTATGTCCAAGGGCCAGGGCTGGGCGTTGCCTGTATGTTTGAATATACGTCGGGAGAGGCTGAGCAGGGGCTGCGTTTGAGTGCTAGGTTGCGTGAGGGGTGCGCAGGGCCCGCCTTCTTACCGGGTGACAGAGTGGAGACTCTGGCGCGAGAGAGAGAGGAAAAAAAATAAGAAAAGTTGCACAGTGGTGGATGGAGCTGTGAGAGTGGACGGGGGATTTTGGGTTTAAATCTGTTCCCGTGGCTGGGTGGTTCACAGGGCGGCAGGGGCGAAGCACAGTTGTTCTCGGTGCGAGCGCGGGCGCGCCTTGTGGCATGTGGGAGGCAGGACAGCGCGAGGACATGGGAGGTGGAGCAGGGAGGTGGATCAGGGCAAGTGAGCAAATTGGGATGAGCAGCATTATCTCTCCAGCAATGAGGCTCGAGCAGCGATCCGTCGCTGCCTCAGCCGGTTCGCGTAGCTGGACTGGACCGTGCAGATGCGGATGTGGACAGGCGTGCGCGGCTGGCTGCCTACATTTTGGGCAGTTGGTTAAAAGATTGCTACGGAAGCTTTGATATCTTGCATCATGGATTTGTGTTATGCGAGACGTAGACAGAACCAACAATGCCGTCCCATTAAGCTGCGTTTATATTGCACCATTGCATAAGAAATAACGAGCTGAGCCATTGGCATGTTTAGAAGCGTTGTTAGTAGTATTTGTGATGGAAGCGATTGTTCTTTGATTCTTGAGAATGTGAGCGTGTGATTATGCGAGAGATGAGATACTCGGTTCTCTTTTTAAGAGTACTTTGTTTGTTTATACTTGTGGCCTGTAGAGACAATTCACAGTTATACACTAATTTAATAACCTGTAGGTTTATGTATAATTAGGGTTTATTTTGAGTGAGCCGGGATACTAAAAGACGCCTATATATTACTGCCACAAGAGGGCACATTGTCATACACTGAAATGGGTGATATGTATTTTCAAGAGGCTGGAGAGATTGGGAAAACGGTTTGCTTAAGGCGGGTAAGAAATTTTGAGCGACTAATGATTGAATGACATGGCTTGGCTGGTCTGGGTGAGTGGGCTTTGTCTTGCTGAGTAAGGGAGGAGTTCCGGAGTGTTGGGTGGCCCTGGAGTTTGCGTGCATATAGGAGGATGGGCTAGGGGGGATAAGTATATGAGGGATGTTGTGTATGATTTGGTTGTTACTTATGACCCATGAGCTTCAAGTGCTGCACTGTGTTTTTCTACAATATGCTTCTGTGAAGTTGCGTTGTCATGAATGCACCTTGGGGTCAGTCTGTCGAACTATACATGTGGGGTGAAGTTTCGCGATAAGGGTATGTGGGTGAGAGCATCAGAGGGAGATTGACTACTACATATGGAGCGTTTAAACTAGAGACTTGCATTTATTCATTCGTTAACGTATTTAACTGCCATGGTGCACAAGGTTTTCTCCTAGAGCTTGGGGTGGAAAGAGAAATAAGATATTATCCCTCCTCTCAAGAGCTTTACCTTCTGGTCATAAGTGAGCGGACGAGTATTAGTTCGTTTATTAGCATTAAAAGTATTAGAAGTATTATTAGTATGAGTTTATTAGTATTAAAAAGTATTAGAAGTGCCATTTATTTTTACGAACTTTTTTTTTATTTCGGCATATTATGGGGGTACAGATTTTAAGGTTTCAGTAAAAATGTCCATCCCCCCCTCCCCCCACAAGTCTGAGGTCTCCAAAGCATCGACCATCCCCCAGATGGGCACATCTCCACTCATTATTGTATGTCCCTAAATACGCCCCCTCCCCCCTCCC